AATTGAGAGTATCTAGATGGAAATTGGAGATTCTGAACTTGATATGTGATGTACATGATCTAACCATTACTTATAAAACGATGTGTGTTGTGCAGCCATTTTTTAGAGATTTTGTTCATCAGCGTAGACATTAGCTTGGTCATATGGCATGTGGGATTGACTATATGACAATGAGAATTACCTTGTCTGGAGCAAGAAGCCCAGCCATGATCTTCAAGATTGTTGACTTACCAGTCCCAGAAGGCCCAATTATTCCAACAGCTTCCCCAATGGATTGACTATATGACAATGAGAGATTTCTATATATGTTCTCTTTCCTCAAGGTTTATTTCTTGGAGAAATTTTCCCTTTAGAATGTGAGAAATATATTTATTTGCTTTGACTTTTCAAATTACATTGAAGGAATACTACTACGCTGATCTTGGAAATGAAAGGTTTACGAGCTACATGGCCCTGGTAAATATATTTTCTCCATTCCCTGTTTTATTTCTCTGCTGACTCCACATTTAACAACGGACAGCATGGGTTCAACCGGCTAACTGAAGCAATGCAAAGTTGAGGAATGACTACTGAGCAGCCGCATTGGTAAAGGTTTCAAACTTTCTTTTAATTCTTCGTATTTATTGTTCAATTTTTGTTCAACTCTTCGGCCACGAACTGATAATTTTTACCTTTGCTGGTAAATTTTTCGAAGTCAACTATGGTTTTTTTTCTTGGTTTGTTTTTGCTGCAAATTTGATTTTCTAATCTCCTTAATATATAGGGATAAAGCAGCTCAAACACGCCCAAAATCATTTCCACTTTTGTCAAAATTGGCCTTGTATAATTGTATTTTTGTGATGTATTGCTATTTATCTGAGATGTGTTCCTATTATTTTATGAGGCCGTGGCGGCTGCCAAGGAAATCATGAGGAAAGCAATTCAAGGGACGAATAATCTCTTTGTTTTGTCTCTGATGGGATGATTGTGGTTTCCACAGACCGATAATCACTGTTGTGGAATTGGAGTAAATGAAATTTAGGCAATTTGATTGGATCTCTAATATTCCAAAATATTTTTAACACGTGACCTGCAGTTCTTGTGACCTCTTTCTCCATTGATGTCTTCATGCTGCTATACATGGTTATTCAGAATGTAGGTATTACACTAATAACCATACTGACTCTCCATTCGTCTTCTTGTCAATTTACGAAGCCTGGTCTCTCCAGTAATATTTCCTGGGCACTTCATGTTGTCCTCAAGAAACTTGTCAATATTGAACTAACATAACTTCAGATGATATGAATTCTGGCACAAAATTGTATAATAATTTATTTTTTTCAACTATTGCATTAAGATTTTCCTATAGTCAAAGCAACAAGTACTTGGCCACAAAATTTATCAGAAATGAAAGGATCAGAAGTATAAATAATTCTCATGTGATTACAATTTGAGTGTATTTTATTTTCAGGATAGTATTTTCAATCCTGTCCTCACGTAGATTCTTATATTTGCAGGTAATGAGAATAGCTGACCAAGGAGCGGATATTGTTAGAATAACAGTGCAGGGAAAGAAAGAAGCAGATGCATGTTTTGAAATTAAAAATTCCCTTGTTCAGAAGAAGTATGCGATTAGTTTGAGTTCATTGACATTTAGATCTATCCGTAAAAGCACAAGGTACTTACTAATTCTGTGATCATGCAGTTATTACATCCCTCTGGTAGCAGACATTCATTTCGCACCTCCTATTGCATTGCGAGTTTCTGAATGCTTTGATAAAATTCGCGTGAACCCAGGAAATTTTGGTACTTAATTCACCCCCATGCTTCTCTCTCTTATTTTTCTTGGGAAAATGGTATGGTTTATTAGTTTTAATCCGGTGGTCATTGCTTTCAGCTGACAGGAGAGCTCAGTTCGAGACGCTAGAGTATACGGAAGATGATTATCAGAAAGAACTTGAGCATATTGAGCAGGTTAGGACCACATGATGGCTTATTGCCAGCAGAAACATGAGATTAGTTGTTAGCTTGCTTCCAAGATGTTTTAAATTCTCTTCGGACATGCATGTACTTGAATTGCTTTGCTCTGTAGATAATTTACTTATGCAGTGGGAAAAAAGAGAATAATATTAGAGTTTTATGTTCTTATCACATTCCACAATTTACCTATAGCATTTAGTCTTTCTGTAAATTTTGATGTGAAGTCTTGACTGAAGTGGAGGTTGAATGTTGAATCTTCCTCTTACAAAAAGTAAGTGATGACTTGATTCCAATTTTTGAAGCAAACCTCGACCTTGGAAACTATT